TTATTTATACCTGAATGGACACCCTACAAAAATAACACCATCATCGTATAACATTCTTAATCGTATTGACGCTATGAATAAACACACTCAACCTGAATAACACATCAGCGTATAACAGTTTCACTGGTATTGCAGCGATGAATAAACACCCACCGAAATACGAAATAACACCATCATCGTACAACAGTTTTACTTGCATTGCCGCGATGAATAACCACCCACCGAAATACGAAATAACACCATCATCGCACAACAGTTTTACTTGTATTGGCGCGATGAATAGCCACCCCATCGAAATAACGCCAACACCGCATTACTGTTTTACTTGCATTGGCACGATGAATAACCACTCCCCCGAAAATAATACCATCATCGCATTACAGTTTTACTTGCATTGGCGCGATGAATAACCACTCCACCGAAATAATACCATCATCGCATTAGAGAGAGAGAGAAATGGGGTTTAACGTCCACTCGACACAAACTAGGTCATTTCGGGACTAACATATGGTTTAATTTTATTTCAATATTTCGCTTGCGCGTAGGGGTCTTTAGCAGTGGGAGGAAACCGGGGGACCCGGAGAAAACCCACGAGGTTGGACAGGCGACCCTACTCCTTGTCACGTACAACCGAAGATTTGAAACCACGCCAGTAGACTCAATGACAGACTTTATGATACAGCGCGCGCACGCTCTCCATTCAGCCATCCAACCCCCCATCATGGCATTACAGTTTTACTTGTATTGATGCGATGAATAACCACCCTACTGAAATAATACCTTCACCGCATTACAAAATGAAATGAAATGGGGTTTAACGTCCTACTGTTCTGCTCCTAACCTGGGCTAATGAAGACGGGCATACGCCATACAGTGTGCTATGAGGGAAATTTTGCCCGGACAGCGGCACTACTCTTATATCGAATTCCAACTGTCAAAAGATCTATTACGTGCACGCCAATGTGTACACGGGACCTCGGTTTTTCGTCTCATCCGAATGACTAGACAGCTGTCCTTGTCAGGCCCTCCGCCCTGCGTCACTGACAAGGGGAAACCAAGCCGGAAAATCTTACTAGCATTACAGTTTTACTTGTATTGGTGCGATGAATAAACACCCCACCTAAATAATAATATCATAGCATTACAGTTTTACTTGCATTGGCGCGATGAATAACCACTCCACCGAAATAATACCATCATCGCATTACAGTTTTACTTGTAATGGCGCGATGAATGAACGATAAAATAGTTTATACAATAAAATAGACTGTTGGCACCACGTGATATCAATAATTATAAAGATATTAATAACACAAATTATATAGAGACCATCAGTCGGTACATATTAACTCCACGTGTAGCTAGTTTAGACGGAGAAAAATTTAATGAAAAGATATTAACAACACAGATCATACAGAGTTCGTCTTTATGCAGTTTAGACGGAAAAATTTAATGAATGGGGTTGCAATAGGGGTTGCTGAGTGTGGTGTACCTCAAATTTGGAAATGAAATGGGCTGTAACGTCCTATTTTTCTACGCCAACAGGGTTAATGAAGACATGCATACACCATGCAGTGTGCCCGGACAGGCAAGAAATGTTCGAATATTTACGTTTTCTGAGATGGCCATCAATACATCAATAATTATAAGGGCCGCTGAGAGAATCTTTATGAACCGGAGCAAGACCCCGGCCCGCCCAATGCATGGTGTAGCGTATCGGGGGCTCTGCGGCACGAATTCCGACCATCTCACCGACGTAAAAGAAATTAAATAGAAGTTAATTGACCCCCCTCCCCCCCCCCCCCACACACACACCTGGGGCTTCATGTTCCCCGGAGTGAAGTACTAACTCCCCCACCCCCTCCATCTTGGAGATGCTAATTACAGTCCTCTATTAAGAAGGCCGGCGTATGATTAATTGACATTTTTAAAATTTTATATTTTATGTATTAAGTATAGTTTATACAGCTCATCGACTTCAAGATAAACCCATACGTTAACACTACTACTAGTTTGTGTATATTACGTCATAAAAATTGATGTTTTACAATTTATGAATGATGTATTTATACTTTCTTCAAATTTATATTCTATTTCATTCATGAATCATCTTATAGTACGTGCCGAGTGGAATACACTACGTTTTCATAGTGAAGAATTAATTTGATAAAACGCTCGTGGCATGCATACGATAAAATTTAATGATCATTTTTATAAAATATTAACTCACTTTAAGATGGGGTTATTCAGTAAATTCTATTACCCAACCTAACATCGTAGAAAGCATCTTAATATATAAATTAAAATGAAATAAGGTTTAACGTCCTACTTTTCTGCAACCGACTGGGCTAGGCCATACAGTGTGCTATATATGAAGCGAATTTTGCCCGGACAGCGGCGCTATGACGGCCTACTCTTATACCGAATTTCTACAGCCAAAGATTCTTTTACGTGCAAGCCAATATGTATACAGGACATTGTTTTTCAGCCCCACCCGACCGACTACACACTGTTCTTGTCCGGCTCCCCGCCCTCTGACAGATATTGCCGGTACGTGAAATGTTTTTATGTGTGTTCTGAAGATAGGTATGTTTATTAGGTCATCTACTGCAGACCCAAACATGTCTTTTATCTCTAAATTATCGTTTAATGAAAGGAAAAACTAAAAGAGGGAGTTGTCAATCATCCATACATTAATAGGTTAGATTCTACGAATTTTGTTTGTAACATTTATCTAGTGCAGATAGGCCATATATTAAAATAGTACCGCCTTTGTAATAATTTCAACAAATATAACATGGAAAAAACAAATCCGAGTAAAGTGAGGCCAATGTCCCCCGCTGAAATCCCAAAATAAATAGATGACAAATATATTAATTAATTGCACATTTATCTTTTTCAAAAGTATCCAGCAATCAAACTGAATATCTATACTACCTTAGCATAAAATGTTCACAAACTCAGTCAGATTTTTGAAGTACCTGGTAGTGAAACAATATACTCTCCCTCTCCACCAGTTAAAATCAAAGTTATCTTGTCCCAAAGCACCAACCAATGATATTGCTTAGCTCGGCTTAGCTTTAGCGGGAAATATTAATCATTGAACTCAGTCAAGACATTCACCTAATGAACATCTATACCTCAATTAAAAGCAGGGTTGTTACGTTCCAACGTCTTGACCAATCAAATTGCTTATTGCTACTTAGCCTAAGCAGAAAATTCTCATCATCGAGCTTAGTCAAGGTACTGGTATGATGAATCGCTCTTTTCCAATTAGACCATAAGTTATCGTGTTCGAAAGTCCAAACCAGTCTAATTGCTTATCTCTGCTTAGTGGAGAATGCGCATGATTGAACTCTGCCAAGGCATTCGCCTAATGCTCACCATCAAGCTTTGTTAAGGTATTGATGTGATAAAACTATACATGAAGTTTCACCACTATCACTCAATTAAAATCAAAGTTGACAAGCCCAAAGTCTCGACCAATCAAATTGCTTAGCTCTGCTTACCCTGAACAGAAAATGCTTATTATCGAACTTTGTCGGGGTATTGATGTAATGAAACTATACACCAAGTACCAAGTTTCATCAGTCTTACTTAAAGGCTCAATACCACTCTTGTTGTAACTGAAATATATGTCCCAAACTTTATTCTGGTCAACAAATTGTACTATTTTAGAATATTTCAATTAATTGATGATACAAATTTCATCTTTACACACTTTATTTAAAAATTTTGAAAAATTCAACATAATGGTTTGAAACGACTAACGTAAACCTTTTCAAATGAAATTTCGATTTAAAAATATTTTCGAACCCTCTGGACAAGTAAAATAGGATGTAATGGATAATTTACACAATAGGTAGGACACAAACATCTAGTACTTAAATAGAGATATTATCTATTTTCTGGAGCTTTCAAGCCAGCAAGAGTGATATTGTCCCTTTAATTAGAGAGAGAGAGAAAAATGGGGTTTAACGTCCACTCGACACAAACTAGGTCATTTCGGGACTAATATAATGGTTTAATTTTATTTCAATAATTCGCTTGCGTGTAGGGGTCTTTAGCAGTGGGAGGAAACCGGAGGACCCGGAGAAAACCCACGAGGTTGGACAGGCGACCCTACTCCTTGTCAGGTACAACCGGGGATTCGAAACCACGCCAGTTGACTCAATTACAGGCTTTATGACACAGCGCGCACGTGCTAACCATTCGGCCATCCACCCCCCCCCCCCCCATTACTTAATTAGAACCAAAATTACCGTGTCCCAAAGCATCGGCCAATCAAATTGCTTATCTCTGCTTACCCTAAGCAGAAAATGCTCATCTTCGAGCTCCGTCGCGAGGCATTCACCTATAATAGACACCTACACCAAGTTTGAACATTCTAGCTCAATTAGAAGGAAAGATATTGTGTTCCAGAGTCTCGACCAATGAAATTGCTTATCGCTCTGCTTACCCTGAGCAGAAAATGCCATCTGCTTAGCCTTAGCAGAATACTCATCTTCGAACTCCTTCAAAGCACACACCTACACCAAGTTTGAACATTTTTGCTCAATTAGAAGGTGAGTTATTGTCCCAAAAAGTGTGACGGACAAACACATAGTCCCCTGCTTTAGCAGCAGAAGTTGAAAATGACTGATTGTTTACGCCGGACGGATGGTTTATACGAATAATAAACAGTATAGAAACGCTTCTCGGCTGTTATAAAATAGGCATCAAATGACGGGAAAGCCAGAAACAAGTGAAACCGCGACATGGGCAAGAAATTCATATTTAAAGAAATTTATGAGTAAATTATGAGTAAATTAAAGTATTTCTAGGCTTTAGTGCATAATAGACTAGATGTGCTGAATGTTCGCCCAATAAAAGTTTCTCACAGCTGTTATTGTATACCGCCATACGGCTCTACTTTCAATTAGCTGTCAACGTATAATAATATTTTCTACCAATCAACTCTGTGCATTATCGTGTGACCGTAATATATAAACAAACAAGCATGGACATGTTTTGTCTGCTAGCGGAATCGCTTTTAGCTATATGTATACGGGGAAAATACATAAACTGCCGCAAAACATGGGGTGTATTTTTTCCCACCTAGGCGTCACTGCTCATCAGAATGAAAACTTTGAAATACCACCAAAAACATACTCGTGGGATAAACGTGAAAAAATGAATGTTCAAGATTTTATTATCGATGGCGTTAAAAACGAGACAGTTGGCCGACTACCTGGGGTTGTCAATGGACAACAAATGGTGATACAGAATTGTGAAAATTGTAATATTTATATTTTTGACCATACAAATACTTTGACGATTGATGATTGTACGGAGTGTAATATATTTTTGGGACCAGTGAAAACGAGTGTGTTTATAAGAGATTGTAAAAACTGCAATTTTGCAGTGGCTTGTCAACAATTCAGAACGAGAGACTGTAGTCAAGTCAGTATTTATTTATTTTGTGGTACACAACCCATTATTGAGTCATCGACTGGTATGAAATTTGGGTGTCTTCAATACAATTATCCAGAATTTAAGGACCAATTTAAAGCAGCAGGCCTAAGTATTTACAATAATAATTGGAGCAATATTCATGATTTCACACCAGTACCAGGTGAAAATAATTTTGGGTTATTGACAGAAGATTTAATTGTTGATTGTTCGCTCATACCCACGACAGAACAATTTTCGACTGTGGAAGTTACATCGGATAAACATACAAGTCTGGTTCCATATACATCTGGTAGTCGCAGGAAAACGTCTGACGAGTCCTGCCTTGTCGTCTTTTTCAAAGATGACGCATCAAATAAGCGGGCCGAAATATTTACAGAATCTCTGATTAGAAATGGTTCTTTTATTCTTGCCCAAACCAAAGAGGTTCCAATGCAAGCAGGAGATGCTCAAAGAGTTTTTGGATCTGAGGTATATTCTAATGCCGTTGGAAAAGGTGCAGTTATAGGTTTAGAAATAAATGGAACAGGGTGTATAAAGTTTTGTCAAGATGTCATAGCAGATTTATTAAAGGACAGTCCAGGTGTGGTATTTGTCAGTCAGAATCAAGCTGCGGCCACTCAAAATATTGATAACTTTTATAACTTTGCAAACATGCAAATGGAAATTTGAGAAGTGGCGAGTTGACTTTTAGCACACAAATTTTTGCTTATTGTTGGCTTCCTGTCGTTTTATAAAATTATCCTACCACAATTACTGGTTTAATTATTAAAGGGGCATTATGTAAGATTAGATAAAAAGCTGACAGTTTAATAAAAGTTAAAAAATAGATAATGAAAATGGAATATGTTGAACATTTCATTCAAATTACATGTACTTCAGTCTGAGCTGAGTTATCGCTGTTAGAAGAACAGTATAACCTCAATTGTCTTTGCTACCATTGTTAAGGTGATAAACAAAGTCTGGATTATTCATTTTTAAATTAAATCATTAAATGGCAGAACCATTCTAATCTACTTAAAATCGGAGCCATCCGATGGCATCAAGAGTTGATTATGGTGAATGGTCTTGTCATGTGAAGATATGCCTAATTAATAATTTATATATTTAAGGCCTAAAGAAAGACCTGCAATAGGCAGATTTAGCTCTTGCATAATGCCTGTTTAATTGCCATTCCTGCATTAGTTGTTCATTTATCCCATGGTGTTACCACCATACAAGATTTATTCACAGCACGCATCTCTTCTCTTCAGTTTGTGTGTGACCGCAATCAACCATCCATAACCCTAACCAGAGCCATATTAACATCATTATAGGCCCCTGGATCAAAGCAGTGCACTGGGCCCCCTACCTACACAATCACTCACAGGAATAAAACTGTAAATGGTTGATAAAATTAAACATATATTTATTGTATTGGTATTATAGTTTAGTATATTATGTATTTATTGACAGTAAGTCACAACATACATGATTAACATGGGTCCCCTTATGCTTGTGGGGGCCCCTTGGCACGCTTTGACAACAACTTACTTGACGAAGCTCACGGGAAACCAAAAGGTTTTCCAAGATGAGTCGAACTTGGTTTTTTTCAAGTCACCCATTGATATTAAGATATTAGTATAGAAATCGTATAGTAGATAATTGTATGTCTGGTCAACAGTAGATATGGAGAATGACTTTTTGTTGAAAGATATTCTAGGTACAAGTGTCAATATATTCAATCCAGCATTGAATTGGCTTAACCCTCTAAATGGGTTGTGGTCAATTTGATCTCTGAAGCAAAATTAGAACCATCAAATGACACAAGGGAGATAAATCCATTTAATGTGCACCCTTGTAAAATGAGCTAGGACTTGAATACAAGTTCTAGCAATAAGCACACTTTTATCCCTTTATTTATCATCAAATATTAAAAACGGAAAAAACTACAACAAACAAAAGATCTGAATAGTTTTATATTTCATCTGTTTAAAATTACATTCATTAGCTATTAATAATTCTATGGTCAATATCATGTACATTACACATTAGGCCAAGAAAAGAAAATACATGTGTTTATTTTAAATTTCATGGGGTTTGTATTATCTATTTAATAGCATTTCTAGCTTAATCATTGATACCAAAACTTCAGTGTTGGAATTTGTCAACAGAAAACCACATCACGTCTGAGAAATGAGAGAGAAAAAAAGTTTAAGCTCAGCGGTTTTGACTAAAAACAATAACCTTAAAAACAGGTATTGGGTTTTTTTGCCTGAAGTAAAAATATGTTCATGTCATATGCCCGAAATAAATTTTATTTACATAATATTTGATGTTAATTGACATAATGTTACATATGTGATATTTCTTGTTCTTATTATCCATGGACTCAATTCTATTGAATTGACCAGGATTTTGATATATTTATTCCTTAAATTGATGTTAAACAGTGTTCCTGTATTTTATTCTAGTCAAAGTTTTATAATATTTAAGAATCTTGTGTTGCATGTCCAGTTTGTATTAAAGTGTGTTTTGTAATGAAGTTATTATTTAAGTCACCCGTTAAATTTTTTATAGCTCTGTAATATAAAACACCAGCATTTTCCGGTTTTCCTTTCATACTCTCAAATTTGATGTAATCTAACCATAAATCTGAAAAATAACAATTTAATTACAAATTAATTTACCTTAGTTACAAATTATGGTTTGATCTGCAGACATTGATTTGTTTCAAGAACATCAGGTTTAACGATAGAAAATTGGTTGGATCTATTTGATAAGGTCATCTTCAAGTTTGGTCAAAGGTAAACAGGGCTAACACTAATCCCAACCCTAACCCTGGACCTAGACCTAATGCTTAGCCTACCCTAACCTACAATTTCGCCAACAATCACATTCCCTAACCTTATTTACCTTTCAGTGACCTTGAAGAAAATTTAGCTGGCCTTACAAAATAGATTTAGCCTAGAAAATTGCAGAAAGGCAGAACATTAAACCAGATTTCATTTCAGTTAAAAATTATGAGCTTGCACAGAATGGGGGTGACATAAGGGAGATAACTACATTATATGCAAAGAAAAGAGAGATAAATGATGTTTAACACTCACTCACTTGACACAACTAGGTTATTTCGGGGCTAACATAAAGTTCAAGTTTATGTCAATAATTCGTTTCCACGTAGGGGTCTTTTAACGGTAGGAGGAAACCGGAGAAAACCCATGATTTCCATGTAAATGCAAGAAATAATATAGCCATGCTAAATGTTAGATCTGCAGAAATTCATGGTTTGCTTGCCCTATATAGGCTTAATCCGGAACAAAAGAGAAGACTACCAGAGATTTCACATAAAAATTCATCCACAGTATCCCCAGTGGTCTCATTCCGTTCCACTAACCCCATGTATTCAAATTATCTGCCCATGATGATTGTGCTATTTTTATTGACCAATCAAAAAAATCGATAAATACATAATCACTGGCATAAAAACATCTCTCATATCTTTGGACATCTTTTTGTGTGCATGTCACTTCTTTTATATTAAATGTCTTGCAAGCTTTCTCATAATTGAGCAAACAAGCCACAGTATTTTTGTGAACATAAACAATGCAGCTAAGACTTGTGTGTAAACTGTTTTTTGACTGGTTCGTAGAATCAAGCTACAATCAAGGGCAGATAATTTGAATATGTGAAACTGAATACCCCATGGATGAACCCAGGGTATAGTGAAGTAGAATGGAATGACACCACTGGGGAAACTGAGGATGAACAAAATTTTTCTAGCTGGGTAATTATTGGACATATTTTGATTTATTCAGATTGCTATATTTTTTTCAAAGAAAATGATAATTTTTATGACTGTCTCAACTTTTCTTTATATTTTTAAGTGTTTATATCAATAAAAAAAACTATAAATTTAATTGTTTTTATTACGTTTTTAAGATAAAACTCCTGAGAGGTAAAGTTCTTTAGCTCTTCAATTTAAGAGCCTCTACCAAAATAACTCCAAACACCTAAGTTATCTCTTTTACACCACTAATTTCTTGCAAAAGAATTTGTTCAAATTAATTAAATTTGAAGTTCTCTTCCCCCCTGGAATCTTGAAATAGATTTTGTTCAAAATTTAAATCATTTTGATTCATTTGAAGTTCACTTACACTACTTGCTTCTTGCATTAGAATTCATTCATATTTCAAGGCTTTTTAATTAATTTTAATTTGAAATATTTATTTAACTTAATCCTTTTCAACGCATCAGGACAAATCCCTCATTAAGTAAAATTGTTGATAAAATTCCACTGACCTGAACTGGAGTCTCCATATTCTGATACAGCATCTTCATAACCTTGTCTAATTAACTTCACTTTTACAACAGACTGTAATGATAAAATATAATTCCTTATACATAGCAGGGATTGGATGGCCGAATGGTTAGCATGTGCACGCTGTATCATAAGGTCTGTCATTGAGTCAACTGGCGTGGTTTCCTCCCATTGCTAAAGATACCTACACGCAAGCGAATTATTGAAATAAAACTGAAATAAGAAATGTAATGGAATGGTGTTTAACATGATACTGTTCTGCTCCGACTGGGCTAATGAAGATGGTGGCTCGGTAAGAAGTTGGCTGGCTAACCAGGTGGTCTTGGGTTCACAACTGGTCTTACCCGAGAAAATTCCTCAGGATTTTCTTGCGCCGTCCTCCCTTGATAGTGATGCAAGACGGAGGGCCAGGCAAGGACAGTGTCTAGTTGTTTGGATGGGACGGAAAACTGGGGTCTCGTGTACACATTGGCGTACACGTAAAAGAATCCTTAACAGAATTCAAAATAATAGTAGCCTGGAGTGCTGGTGTCCGGGCAAAAGTTCCCTAATGCCTGTCTTCATACATACACCCTCCAACCTGTACACAGGACATCGTTTTTTTAGACTATCCGAATGACTAGACACTATTCCTCCGCATGTCGTATTTTAGTTGTAATCTGGTGTCCTGACCACACAGCCTCTAATGAGACAATATCAATCATTATAGATTACTTATTTCTTTAAACATTCCTGATCAACGTTTTCACTGACTCAACAAAACCAATCTAAGATATCTCATCCATCATGTGGTTCTGGTTAAGTATATGTTATTATTATCATTGTCATAAATACTATTATCAGGGTAGTCATGGTCTCATGAAAACTATCATTACACTACTCAGATCTTCATGAAAACTAGACATTAACTGAAGAAAGTTTTTATTATAAAAGAATTGAAGGATAGAGTTCAATCTTCTAAGAAGACCTGTCATTTTCTTTAGGACTCTAGTATTTAAAGAGATACTCTATGAACATGTATTTTGTGGATTTCCTCTGGCAAGTTTCTTAGGAAAAACTTCTCTACGATATCATCCTTGGTGGAAGTGCATGTAAAACTCCGGGAACGAACGAACGAACGAACGATGAACATGTATGACAGATCTATTCATGTACGTAAAAGAAACCTTGACAGTTTCATTTCAAAATAAGAGAAGGCTGTATAGACCACTGTCCCGGGCAAAATTTCCCTCATGGCACACTGTATGGAGTATGCCCATCTTCATTAGCCCAGTCGGTGCAGAAAAGTAGGATGTTAAACGCCATTACATTTTAGTTACTTCATTTAGCTGACAGCAGTTAAAGGTTTGGTGCATACGGCAGGGTATACATCAGTGTTGTCCGACAAAGGATTAAGTCAGTCAATCAAAGCAGATTAAGTAGTTAATCAAGGTAGGTGTATAGCTGATATAACACGATTTATAAGTTGATCACTTAATTCCCTTATTAATCCAGCCTATTATCAACGATATAGTAATTATACACTCAGTACACTATATTAATTTTGGAATTTTGAATATTATTCACCAATTGGGCATATTCCTGGTCGGACAATTTAGGACGTTTGGAAAATAGCGTCGGACATGTTCGGAATATACAGGCGAAATACCATCATTGGTATACATATTCCTTCCAAAACCAACGTCCTTATCTTTAGAAATTATCATAGTTAACAAAATTAGGGATCGTGGAAAAATTTCAACACTTGCGTCTAAACAAATAACACAGAGAATTGGGTTGGTGGGTTGAATGACTCCTTAGATGGTTATTTAATATGTATGTCAACATTTTCTTACTCCATCAGAATGGACAAATTATTGAAATAAAATTGAACCACGTGTCAGTCCCGAAATGACCTTGTTTGTGTTAAGTGGACGTTCACCCCCCCCCCTCTCTCTCTCTCTCTTTGTATTGTATATCTGGGTAGGAGAATGTAATAAGATCAGTGGCGGCAAAGCTGTGCAAAGTCCAAGGTTAAGGGGGCAAAGGCGCGAGCTTCAACTAGGGCTAAGGTGTGGGGGGGGGGTCTACCCCAGAAATCTTTGAAAAACAGACTGCCGGAAATGCAGTCTGACAGTATTTCAGGCACCGATCAGGCACCTGTCATCTGACCACTAGTTTATTCGATCGGAATGAAACTTGTCAAACGAAGGGACTTGACAACCTCAACGTAGCAAGTCCTTACGGAGGTAATCGGGACCTTCCCCAGAAAATTTTGAAAAATAAACAGCCGGAAATGCAGTCTTACAGTATTCAGGTACCAATTATAGTAGGTTTACAGCAGGATGGGTTCAGTAGGAAATCACTCCGACTCTACAACATGCAAGTTTATGACTGAGTTGAAATGTGGGATTTAATCACCGTACAAAATATTGATTACCAAAACATCACAAACATTTTTTTTTTATTTTCTAAAGGGCAGACCAGATTTATAGGGAGGGGGGGCAAATGTACCTCCTTGCCATCACCCCCCCCCCCCCCCCCCAGGCACCGCTACTGAATAACAGTATAAAATGTATAAAATAAGTCAATTGACCAGTGATGAGAAGATTTGTGAGTATATTTTATAATGACTAGTGACCAGTAGTTGATGATTCACACCAATCTAATTTCCTCCTCTCTCATCACATCAACCTTTATATAATTCTTCTCATTATTTTTTCTATTGATTCTCCGATAAACTATGGCCAGTGTTTAACTTAGTGCTTGTTCTGTTTTTCTTGCTAATTATTTGTATTGTTCGTACAATGGACACAATTCCCGAACCCTGATCGGAGTTCAATACAGAAGGTGATAGACTAATTTGTCATTGTTGATTTATATAATCATCATATACATGACAGGAGAACAATTCTCTAGGCTACTTTATTATACTCTACGTTGATTGCTTCGTTTGATGTTATTACATTCTCACAATTGTAATCAAAAATAACTATTAAAAATATAATTTGGGTGATTCACTTTTAGGTCTTTTTTAATTTCAGGCTTGGATACTGTTACGAAATTTCAACACTTGTGTCCAAACCAATAGCAAATGTAAAGGAAATGAAATGGGGTTTAACGTCCTACAGTTCTGCTCCGACTGGGCTAATTGAAGATGGGCATATGACATATGGTGTGCTATGACGGAAATTTTACCTGGACAGCGGCACTACGTCTTACTCTTATATCTATTTCCAACTGCCAAGGGACCTTTTACATGCACACCAATGTGTACAAGGGGCCTCAGATTTTATGTCCAATCCAAACGACTAGACAGCTGTCCTTGTCAGGCCCTGCATCCTGCACCACTGACAATCAAAACCACGCCAGAAAATCTTGAAGATCTTTCTTGGTCAACACCAAGAGTGAACCAGCATCTTAGCCACAGCAGCTCCCCAAACAAATAACCCACTAATAGACCTTGAGTCCTCGACACAAATTTTATCATGACTGGTCAAATTACTTATAACATGTCCGCTACCCAAATATAATAATACATGAAAAACAAATAATATTAATACGATGGTAAAGCATCTACACAATTTCTATCAATACTGGTCAATTGACTTATTTTTATTCCCTTATGTCCACCCACTTCTAGAAAATATGAATATAATAGGATGGTAAAACACCTACATCAATCTTATAAATACTCCATATCCACTCAGTTCACTACTACCTTTAATAATTTCCGGTTTCCTCTCACTGCTAAAGACCCCTATGTGCAAGCGAATTATTGAAATAAAATTAAACCATGTTAGTCCCGAAATGACCTAGTTTGTGTCGAGTGGACGTTAAACCCCATTTCTCTCTCTCTCTCACCTTTAATAATTATAATACATAAGATAAACTAGATATGTGATTACTTTGCACAAATTCTTCATGTGATTACTTTGCACAAATTCCATATGTGATTACTTATCAACAGTCTTGCCACTCTATCAGGGCATTTTTTAAGGAATCTAAAGTTGTGGGCCCTGAGTGAAAAGTGGACTTTAGCGGTGGGGGAAACAGGTATGGTGAGAATTTTTATAAAAATCTTGTGTGAATTGGCGCATTCTAGCATATATCGTGGGTCAAAAAGACATCTTTTTAGTCAGTGCCTTACTGTCCCAAAAATACAGAGATCATTAAAAAAAATAGAGAACCATAGCTGTATAAAGGTTACTTGTTTACGAATAGTCCCTAAAGTACTGGGGCCTTAACATAGACCAAAATTATTTTATCATGTAATGATGCTTTAAGCTTTATTCACCACTGTTCATTAGCCTAGTCGGTGTAGAACAGTAGGACATTAAACCCAATTCCATTATATATTAAACTTTATTCAAAGATATATCAACCCATAAAATAAACCGGTTAATTATATTCCAGCTAGTTTTGTTCAACTAACTGTTGACCGATAGCATTTCAAACAGTTTCCACTGGGAGAAGTCCACTGATATCTTGTCTACGTCCCAGTAATTATAAAATAATCAATAATAACTACATCAACAAATTGAAAATCTGAGGCCAATTATCAAACCTTAGAATTACTTTTCCGACTTGACATTTTATAATTTAAAATCTTTTATTCATCAATTTTCACACCACACAATTACAGATTGTATTATATAACATAAAGCACATAACAGACTTCTTTTTAGGCTATGACAAATATTCTACAATCACCCTGGGAATCTCATAGCAAAAACACTCATTTTATCTGCATTTGGGTGATGTTTTCAAAAATCTGCTATTAACCTTAAAAGTAAAAATGTGAATTTAAAAATAGATCCACGAAATGTGTTTGAATGCGGGGTCACATGACTAGCTGTGAACTGTTTCTGTGACTCAGGCAGTTTGAATCGGTCTAAGGGAGAAGTGTGAGGAAACCAGAGGGCCCGGAGAAAACCTACGAGGTTGGACAGGCGACCCTAATCCTTGTCACGTACAACCGGGGATTCGAAACCACGTCAGTTGACTCAATGACAGGCCTTATGATACAGCGCGCACGTGCTAACCATTCGGCCCCCCCCCCCCAAGGAAGCAGTAGTTTCAGAACATCATTTTTCTTTAATTTTTTCAAGCATTATGTACATGCACCAAATGCTAAATGGTTAACATGCTGTGGTCTGCTAAATGAATAGCAAGCTAACAACCTCTGACAGTTGGTGTATGATGATTGGTACCGATTACTGAATTTAACAAATGATAAGTAGTTTTGGAATGTTGGGAAAATGAGCAGCAAAATATAAAAACGATCACTTTTCTCTATTTTTTCCAGGTAATATGTACAACCACCTCGTGCTAAAGAGTTTAACATACTAAATGAATAGCAAGCTAACAGCCTCTGAGAGAGAGAGAGAGAGAAATGGGGTTTAACATCCACAACACAAACTAGGTCATTTTGGGACTAACAAATGGTTGATTTTTTTATTTCAATAATTCACGGAGGGGTCTTTAGCAGTGCGAGGAAACCGAAGGACCCGGAGAAAACTCACGAGGTTGGACAGGCGACCCTACTCCTTGTCACATACAACCGAGGAATCAAAATCACACCAGTTGACTCAATGACAGACCTTATGATATAGCGCCCATGTGGTAACCATTCAGCCATCCAACCTCCTGCTAACAGCCTATGAGAGTTGATGAGTGATGATGAGTTCCAAATAGGCTACTGAGTTTAACAAATGTTGAAGAATGATTTTTTGTAATTTTCGGTGTTAATTAACTTCGTGAACATGTGAAAACTTAAAAGAGTAAATTGTTTGTTAATATAATTTAAAGGTACACCATGATTGGTTTTTGACATTAAAAAAAGGTACACCATGATTGGATTTTGACATTAAAAAAAGGTACACCAGTGATTAATATTCTTCTTCTCTTGGCTAAATGATCAATTATTAAAATCAATCAATTTTTCTCCACAAATTCTGCTCTAACCCAAATAACAGATCCTGTATTATTTAGTAGTATCATATTTTCTATATTTTGATTAAGAATTAGTTTTGAGGTCTACCACAAGAGAGCTGGGGTTGGATGAATGAATGGTTAGCGTGTTGTGCATCGTATCATAAGGTCTGTCATTGAGTCAACTGGCATGGATTCAATTCCCCAGTTGTACGGGACAAGGAGTAGGGTATTCTGTCGAACCTCGTGGGTTTTCTCCGATTCCTCCCACTGTTGAATTATTAAAACAAAATTGAACCATTTGTTAGTAACAAAATGACCTAGCTGTATCGAGTGGGTGTTAAATCCCATTTTTCTCTCTCTCTCCACCACAAGAGTTTCACCTATTACTTTATAACTGAAATAAATGTAGTTTAACGTCCTTCTTTTCTGCACCAACTGGGCTAATGAAGACTGGCAAATGCCATGCAGTGTGCTATAAGGGAAATTTTGCTAGGACAAGGGTGTTTCTGCCTAATCCTCATTGAATTCCTACTGCCAAGGGTTCTTTTACGTGCACGTCAACGAGTACACAGGACCATGTTTTTATGCACCATCCAGATGACTTAACGCCCTCATTGCCAGGCCCTCCGCTCTCCACCTCTGACATGGGGAAACTATGCTGGAAAAAACTGAGAAAGTTTCTTGACCACCACCGGAATAGAACCCCGAGTGCCTTATTCAATGAACCACAACCATGACAGATTTCACAGAATGCCATAGTATTCAGAAGCCGGAAGTGATCGAGTCCACTCTATCTAGATTTAGTTTTTAAATAATTAAATTCCAATCAGGAAGTCATTACATTATATTTATTGAAATTTGCCTTGGAACCATTCCTGTTTTATTAAATAAAGAAGACGTTAGTTGCACACCAATCCATTGTCATTTCAAAGTTATAAAAAGATACTTCACATTTTACCAGTCATGTACATGTGTGTCTAAGAGGAAAAGTTAGACAAATAAAACATATGCCCCCCAGACATCATTATAAAAACCTGAACAGCATGTTTATCCAGTCTTTCAACAGGTTTTAATCAGACCTGACTTTATTAGAGAAAAGTCTTTAAAAAAGTAAAAGTGTCTCTTAAAATACCAGCCTGGCAGTAATAATATTATCAATTTAAAAAAAAATAAAAATAGGCTTCTATATTAGGCCACACAAAAAAAAAATGTTCTGGTTCTTATACGTTTTTATTTTACAAAAAAAAGGAAAATAAAAACAAAGTTATCCATCTTCAAATTTCCCACACTCAAGGGAAGTAACTCTAAGGCATTTTATGAAAAGAGGAACTGAACACTAGACTTGGCTATCAAGTACGTAACGATGGGAAACACTATTGAGAATCATGAACGGCACTGGATAATCGATTGTATTTTGTTATTGGCAACATTTTGCTGTCAATCTGTCATTTTTTACAATCAAAATGCCTAAGTATCTTTGCCGAGAACTATAACTAATAACTGTAAGAGTGATGACAGAAAGTATTCTCCATGGGAGATTGGAGGCGCAGACTTCGATTTAAATCGTCAGCAAAATCCATGCTTTAACAATGACTATATGGTATCGATACCACATAATGGTCGCCTAAACAAAAACCGGCGGATTTGAAAACATTTTCCCAAGAGTTAATCTAGATGAAGTCAAGGAATTATTCAGCTTTTATTTCAAAATTTTACTTATTTTTTGTTTTTCTTATTAAGAGTAAAACAAATAATAAATTTATAATTTTGTGTGCTTCTTTTGCACAAAGGTTTTTCTGAGAACCATAATATTTTTTTGTGTGGCCTTATGGTTACATACAAACTTTCACATTTCTCAAATACAGAAAGATAAATAATTGGCATAATTCACGAATATTGGAAGTAGGAGAATTTAATTTGTAAATCGAGAGAGAGAGAGAGAGAGAGAGAGAGAGAGAGAGAGAGAAATGGAGTTTAACATCCACTCGACACAAACTAGGTCATTTCGGGACTAACATATGGTTTAATTTCTTATTTCAATAATTTAGAAGTGGGAGGAAACTGGAGGACCCGGAGAAAACCCATGATGTTGGACAGGCGACCCTACTCCTTGTCACATACAACCGGGGATTCGAAACCACACCAGTTGACTCAATGACAGGCCTTATGATACAGCGTGCACGTGCTAACCATTCGGCCATCCAACTCCCCTTGTAAAATCAACAATCAGTAGGATTAATGACTACAAGTTATTCTGGTTTACATAAACTTATCTCTGTTTTAATCAAATGTAATATAGTATCGGTAATTCCATCTTGACTTAACTTTATAAAATTTATAAAATTTAAAATTTCTTCGCCCCTACATGTCTAGTATTCATACTTTATATTGATTTTTTTTTCATATTTAATTTAAAATTTGACATTGAATAGCCAGTCAGCTGATAAACTCCTGATAGTTATAAACGCAAGAATGGTCATCATCAGAGAGACACAACTCTATCAAGATCAAGCCGCTATCTAAATCACATCAAAATTACTCTAGAGGAAATGTGAAGTGGATTATGGTTGAGAATTATGTCCGTATAATGAGTATAATGGCTGATTGAATAAAACAATAATGGTCATTACGTCTGGTAGTCCAAGTCAGACGATGCGATTCGGGTGATTTGATGATCAAGGAGCAGAAATTATATTTCCTGATACGCTACTGATTGATTTCTTGACGGGTGATTAACGTTAGTATTGCTCTATTGATCTTTTCCAATTCTTTCTTCTTTCACTTCACCGATGTTCAATAACATTTTACGGTCAATAAAGCACCTTCCAACATTGGAGCATGTGTCCTAAAATATCGCCTCCAGATATCAACTCACGCCATCCATAAGTCATAAATCTATCCTTTATTTTCATGTTATTATATATTTACTTCATGTTTAACCTGGATGATAACTGATCTACCTTAATAATTCACAATCATCTTCCTTAGTACTTCGCAATTAACCACTTAATAATAACTCCTCTACTTTAGTAATTCACAACAAACCACTGATGACTCGGATTCACTTTTAACATTACAAGAACCAGACGTCTAAAATCAAACTACCCTATGTTTATTTTCATATTGGAAAAAGTCACCAGTAATGTCTAGTTCATCAGAAAGGTTTTACAGATGAATTAGATAAAGTTGATTTTGTTGACTTAAGAATCTAATTTAGGAAAAGTCAATTCTGTCTTTTCAGGAAGTGAAAAGTTACCATCTTTCTTCATCAAAAATCCAATAAACTTTAGCCGTTGTGGATTGTGAGTGCAAAACATATTTTGTTGGTTCTGCATGCGCTAAGATAACAAAAAACAAGAAAATATGACAACTTGTCTGCGATATCACCATTGGTTGAAGCGGATGTACATTAAACACCAACAACAACAAGCAGCGCCTAATTAACCCAACCTAGGACTAGGCTTCTACAGGGGGACCACACCACACATAAATAATTACATAAGACAAACCTACAGAAAAAACACCTCAAAAAGATTAAAAACACTTACCTGTGCTAATTCTAGATCTATATAAGTTTTGTAAAATTCTAGTGAAAGAGGTTTTAACTGTTGAAGTCTGAAATTCAAAATCAAAACAAAAAACAGAATAATTTAGTTAGTTAAATATTTTCCTTTAAGTAGCACAAAAATACAATTTCCAATGAGCCCCAAATCAAAATCAAAACAAAAAAACCAGAATAATTTAGTTAGTTAAATATTTTCCTTTAAGTAGCACAAAAATACAATTTCCAATGAGCCCCAAATGAGGGATAGAATAACGTCCACTCAACACAAATAGGTTCTTTTGGGACTAAAGTATGGTTCTATTTTATTTCAACAATTTGCTTGTATGTAGGGTTCTTAATCTTTAGTAGTAGGAGGAAACCTGAAGACTTGAAGAAAACCCAAGACATTGGGCAGACGACGCTTATCCTTGTTTGGGATCGATGAAACCACGCCACCTGACTCAATGTAAGACTTCAGGATCTAAAGCTCATTCGACCAGTCATAAAAGGATTACTTTGTATGACTGTGATTTTTTTCTTACCTGAAGGTCGAGTGTTCGATCCCAGCGTTGGCCAAGAAAGTTCATCAGGATTTCCAATGTGGTTCCTACTTATTAGTGGAGCAGGACTGAAGGCCTGGCAAGGGAAAACATATAGTGGTTCATATGGGACAAAAAAAACAAAACAACGAAGTCCCGTGTACACCTTGGCATGCACGTGAAAGATACCTTGGGAGTTGGAGTTCACTATAAGAGTAGGCCGTAGCGCCGCTGTCTGGGCAAAATTTCCCTCATAGCACACTGAAGGCTAGTCGGAGCAGAATAGGACATTAAACACCATTTCATTTCATTTCTTACCTGTGATATAGATTGCGAACATTGTTTATACTTGATGTTAAACCAACCCAGTTTATATAGAATTCTTTAACTGGTATACTTATATTTCTATATCTAGTACTTCCTGTCTGTAATAAAATATATTAAAATATATACACATACTAACTCAAAATATACATGTTAACTATAACTCTGTAGAAATGAATGACCGAATTTCAGGTTGTGATGTTCTACTGCCCATAATACAAAAGAATGGTTTTACGACCGATATCTTCACTTTGTGTCCAGACAATGGTAATCAAAATTCCATATATTGGACAGCAAGTTGCTTATCTGGCCGTTACTTTCACATTTTTAAGGACTGGTTCCAAGGAAACCAGACAATAAAGGGATAAGTTCACTGTAACATGGGTATCATTTAATCTTGTGTATCTAGCACTAATATCTTTCACCCGGATTACAGTTAATGCATACAAAATGAACAGACCAGGAGCCAACAAATTAAAATATTTTAATGGCATATATATGTTCTTTAAAACTTGAAATTAACTTTAAGATATTGCTTAATACTAAACCTACACCAGTTCTACCATTGAACGAAAGACAATAGTGACCAAAGGGGATTTAATAGTCAATTAAACGAAATTCAAATATATATTACCTCTAACACTTCCTCTAATTTTTCTGACTTACAACTGGATAAAAAGTCAAGAATTATTTGCCATACTGGCCAACAATCCTGAAGAAAATAAATCAGACAAGAAAATTATTATTCAATAGGTTCCAATTATAACTTCCATTGGATATAATATTTCATACAACCTCTGAAATTACTGAAAAACTATCTGTTTGATTTTTCCTATAGTTACAGACATGTAAATAAATGACATCCATTTTAAAGTGTCACATCTTTTGGATTACTAACTTCACTATAAGCCCACACCAATTTGATGAACTTTCTCAGTCAACACTCGGATTGAACCCCAGACCACCTGGTTAGCGTTTCTCGGCCAACACTGGGATTGAACCCAAGACCTCCTGGTTAGCGTTTCTCAGCAAACACTGGGATTGAACCCAAGACCCCCTTGTTTGTTTTTCTCGGCCAACTCTTGGATTGAACCCAAGACCTCCCGGTTAGTTTTTCTCAGTCAACACTGGGATTGAACCCAAGACCCCCTTGTTTGTTTTTCTCGGCCAACTCTGGGATTGAACCCAAGACCTCCCGGTTAGTTTTTCTCGGTCAACACTGGGATTGAACCCAAGACCTCCCGGTTAGTTTTTCTCGGTCAACACTGGGATTGAACCCAAGACCCCCTTGTTTGTTTTTCTCGGCAGACACTGGGATTGAACCCAAGAACTCCAGGTTAGCATTTCTCGGCCAACACTGGGATTGAACCCAAGAACTCCAGGTTAGCGTTTCTCGGTCAACACTGGGATTGAACTTTGAACCCAAGACCTCTTGGTTAGCGATCCAACATTTTACTATCTTTTTGAGCCACCGTGAATGAAATAGAGTTTTATGGCATGTCAGCTCTGAGCAGGTTATATTGCACCAAACATATGATGAATTGTACGAGAAAAATTAAATATAAGGACAAAAAATATGTTCTTATGCATGAATAAAAACAAATATTTAAAATTAAAACAATGATCACAATTTTTCAAGAATTCAGTATTATATACATAGGCGTACGAGCTGGGGGGGCTCCTGCCCCCCCCCCATTTTGGGCACCAAATGCTGGGAAAATTTGGGCACACAATTGTACTTTGTAAAAGTTGTATAAAAAAATATTGTGTTCTTGAATGTGTCCAATTTAACAGCAAATTTATTATTATTATGTAACATACTAAGAACCTAACTACATTTTTTGGGCACCAACCATCACCGCCCCCCCAGTCAAAAATTTCCTCGTACGCCTATGATTATATACATGACCAACAAGAAGCAAATTGATACTTGAAACAAAGTGTGCCAGTAATTTTTTTATAGAGGGAGAGAGAGATGGGTTTTAACATCCAGTGGCACAAACTAGGTCATTTCGTGACTAACATATGGTTCAATTTTATTTCAATAATTCGCTTGCACATAGGGGTCTTTAGCATTGAGAGGAAACTAGAGGATCCCGAAAAAACCCACAGGGTTAGACAGGCGACCCTACTCCTTACATGTACAACTTTTTTAATATATACACCATATCTTATTTCATTTGAAATTGGATTCAGGAAAAGGCTTGACCTATTTTGACCCCTCTCCAGTAACTGTTCACCTCATATTTCTGACAAATAGTGTAAATTACTGTTTTAACATCCAATAACAATATTTACAACCCCATCACAAAATTCTATATACAAAATGTCACAGATTAAATAAGTTTTTGTTAACAAAATTTGCTTGTGTAATTTTTGTCAAGTTTCCACCAATAGCCTGTAATATGTACACCAACTTTTTGTATATATGTTATATACTTAACAAAGGTGACATTTAGTTGTTAAAACTTAACGTACATGAGTCAACTGGAAGGAGTCTTTGAAACATAAAACCTTTTCAGTCTCAAAATAATTTCTTTCTAGTTGTCCGTACTCACACACGAGGGGGCTGGGGGATTGTCAGTCTCAAAATAATTGCACGTTTAAACAATCTACTTTAGTACATTTTTTTACCGGCTTAAAACTTGCACAATCAGGATTGGTGACAATAATTAGTTTTTATTCAACTTTTGCGCATAACGGTTCTTATAAATTAACGACTAGAGTTCTTCTTAAAATCAAAGAATTTATTAGCTATTGTCTGGATTATAAGTACATATAATGGCAAAATGATACAATATTATTTCTTCGTAAATTAATTAACTAGACATGGTTCAGAATGAGAATTCAGAGGTTTAATTAAAATTTCTAAGAAAGTATACAGTTGATTAACCACATTATGTATGCCATTTTTAAACAAATTAAGTCACATGTTTATTTTGGTAGAATATAATTTTCGCTTGGAGAAGAATTTGAGTCATATGGTTTGAGGGCAGGTAATAAGAGTTTATTGATTACAGGTATGATTTAATATTGATTGACAGGTTAAATCAACCTCAATAGTTAAATACCTGACACAATCCACAGGGGAATTTAACAAAACTAATCAGATTTATGACATATCAGTCTAATGATCATATTTCCTGCCATCTTTTGTATCTTGAAGCTATATGAATAATGTTTTATGAATGTCAGTGTCACTAATACAAGGCCTGCAGCTTATGTCTGGTAGCCATTTTATTGGTAAATATCCTTTGATATGACATCTGTTACCACCTGCACGTATACCACATAACTTTTCACATACTTTCATTTAAAGCTGATGATCATCATTTAAAGGGTTTTGAAATTCCTTTCAAACTGCAATATTGGTCCAATAATGGTTCAATTCCGTTCATTATTTCCAAAGATACGAAGAATAATTGAAGATTTAGTATAATTTGGCATTCTTGGCAGATGATATATACAAACAAGCCAGTGCCACTTATAAGTGATGGGGCTCTTTTTTAATCTTAAAGGGGCATTATTTAAGATTTAGATAAAGAGCTGGTCATTCTCGCTATAATATTTCAAAAATAGATAATGCAAAATGAATATATTGAAAATTTCATTCAAATTACTTTATTTTGAGCGAAGTTATCAAATGGTTGTAGTTTTGACAAGATGTGTGCATTGATCTTAACCACCATACAGGCCATTCGAGTCTTTGCCTCTCTTTCTCCATTTTTAAATTAAATCATTACAAGGCTGAAACATTCTAATCTAGTTAAAATCGGAGCCATCTGATGGCATTGAGAGTTAATTATTGTCTTTTCATGTTAATAATTGTCTAATCAATAATTTTTTACCATTAAAGGCCCAAAGAAAGAACTGCAACAGGCAGATTTAGCTCTTCATGTTTAATGAATCAAAGCTGATACTTTGATTTTGTTTTCTTAATCAATTAACTAGCCATGAAAAAGTAGATATTGTGAAGGATAATCGGTCATTAAACTTTTATTTGTTAAACATCTCTCTTTCTGACTTAAAATTTCTCTTGTATTAAGAAAGCCTGAACATAACTCACCTGAAATAGACTTCGTAAAACACAAATCATCGCACAACATTTTTATTATAATATACGTTGTGTAATAATTTGTGCCTGATAGGTGCCTTATGTCCAGGCATGTCTATATATATACTTTGTGCAATAATTTGTGGTAGATAAAGTCTATGATGGGTGCCTATGTCCAGGTTGGGTAATAAGTAAATATTTTCAAGGTTCCTGAGTCACACCTTGTAAAGAATGAATTAATAGTAATTTGTCTGCAAGTAAAATATTAATCAGAACTTTATTAGTACTGATTACCTGTAACTAGGCAAATACAAGAACAAAGAATAGAGGAAGTTAAATACTCATTATATCATGACCCCAGGTCAAATGATAGTGACGTTTACCCATCAATCAATCATCAAGAACTACCTGTCATCAGTCTATTTCTGTCTATTTCTACCTGTTAACAATTTTTCACCTTGTTCAAATATAATTACTTTTCACTAATTAGACGTTAATTGCTAGAAATGTTTATTAAATTAGATTAATTATTTCGAATGATGGAATTTTGAAATTATATTGATTTCAATCCAATTTGGATCCGACATAAACAAGATCATTTTCAGATGTCACTAAACGTGGAAACATGATCATTGCTTTAACAATAGGTCAATTTTATATCCAAACAATAATATGACATTAATACTATTAAAATTTCCACATGTTCCTGTAATTTAGATAACAAATAAAAATAATAATCATCCATTTTTCAATGAACACTTACTGTCAGTTTTCACATATGAGTAATTAAAAACACATCATCATCAATAAACATTTATCTTCTGTAGTCAACATTTTTTACATAATTAAAAACATTTTTCATGTTATTTCTTTGTTGCAGAACTTCAACAAATAAAAGGAATCTCTTGAGAAATGTCGGCACAATACCCCTATTATTTGGATTGAAAGTGCTTAATTTTTTCTGGACACAAGGTGAAAGGAATATTTATTTATCTACAACATACTGATATGAAAACTAATAGCCTGTTCAGACGCTTAAGTTAAATTGGTTTAAAAACCCCAGGGATCTTTAAACCAGTTTAACTTTGTCGTCTGAATGCACATGTGGGGCAAATAAACCAGTTTAAAAAACCCAGCTCGCGACCTGTCTTGAGAAGTCTTTTATCTTAAACTGGTTCATCTTGGCCGTCTGAACGGGTTGGCTTAAAAACCCCGGCTCCAGCTTGCTTTGAGCATGCACAGTACACAGGGAAGCCTACAATTTTATGGATACATATAATTAAATTTATTACTATGCAAAGTTTTGACAAGGATAGCAACCTTGTTGCATAGTAATCGATTCAGTGATTATATATTCATGAAAATGCACAGTTACTAAATGTCTATCATAACACTACTCAATACAAACTAGGTCATTTCTGGACTAACAAATGGTTCAATTTTATTCAATAATTCGCTTGTGCGTAGGGAGATTTAGCATTTAGCAATGGGAGGAAAAGGGAGGACCCGGAGTAAACCCACAAGGTTGAACAGGCGAGTCTATCATAAATAATAAAATGAAATCTGTTATAAAAACTTCTAATAAATAATAAAAAGAAATCTGTTCATTAAAAGTATTTTTTAACAATATTTTTCATCCCATTTACAATATTGTTTAG